AACGATTTATCATTTCGAATAGTTTATTATTTAAATATTTTAAGTTAAATATACTTTGTGTGCTACACGTTCATTATTGTCCATTCAACCTACGCCCCTGAAGATAGATAGACCTTCGTGCACCGTTGAAGTATGGGTCGCGAGACGTAGATATAGTAACCGTCGGAAAACATTGACTAGATTGTAGCTTACTTCAGCTTACTTCATAAACTCTTCATAACTCCAGAGAAGTTATGGAAAAGCTATGATACGAAAAAACGTCGTAAATTATTCTGTTTGTTTATTAGAAAAATTATAAATCAAGTATTTAAATTAAATAGTGAAAAAGCTAACAGTGGCTTATTAAAATATTCTTTGGTTTATATCATAAGGACAAGATTTTATGTACTTTTTAAATCTATTTTTATATTTTGTGGTATTGAAATTTATTTGGTTTTGTCTGCCAAAATTGTGCTGATCTAAGGTTGAAGATTTGTGTAGCTATTTCATATTTTCTTGGACTTGATGTATACAAAATGTTTACAAATCTCTTTATGCAAAAGCGAATTTTGATTGGTATATTTCTACTGTCAATTTTAACTATTTATATCTATTTCTTGAACTATTTATCTATTTTCTTAATTATTTTTTTAGCTATATAACTATTTTTTTTAATAGTTTATCTATATTTAATTATTTGATCTTTACTAAAATAAAAATATTTTTGCAAAAAATTTGTGTATGTTTAGTAAGTAAAACATTAGGACAATGAAAAGTTAGATTAAACATGAAAATAGTACAAAAAATATACAACACAAAACAAAAAATATAGAAATATTAATTTTATCACAAAATTTAAATTAAATTTAAATTTCTTTATTGATTATTTACTATTTTTGATTGACTTTAAATTAACAGATAATAAGAAAGCAATATCTTTTTGTACTAATTTAAGAAATATTTAAAAAAGGAAGAAAATATATTATAAACGTTATAAATTTCCGAGTCACTTCAAAGTTGGTCAAGGTAGAATAATAAACCAAGTTCGATGCACATAATTCATTTGCAAACTTTCTTACTTAGATATGTAACTCTCGTTTACGATTTAAACGTAATAATCTGTTTTCTCTAGAATTAATAAGAAAGGAGACGAACTTTGTTTGAGACACTGGTCTTATGCAACGTGATGGAATTATAACTCATGTCAAGAAATAGGAATAAAAAATATGCAAATCATTTCCTGCTTTATCAAAAATATTAGTTTATAACATTTGTATATTTGTGTCCAATTGAATTAACTTGATAATGCTTATTATTTAAACATATATCATTTTTGTTTTTCTTTTTTCCTTTTCTGGATTTTCATGGAAATAATTTATTTCACATTTTTATCTACTTTTATACTTTTATCTAGATATACGTTCATTTTTAGTTAATATGAAAGTATAAACGTCTTCATCTTCACTTATATGTGTTAAACTATGCAGAATTAAAAATTAGAAGAGAGGATGATGTATGTATATGAATAAAATATTTTTATCTAGAAATATTACAAACACCTTTAAATTTTAATTAAGATATTTTATTCTTTTATTTTGCACAGTTGCCAATAAACATTCAGCATAAAGAAGAAAAAAATATCAACAAATTGAACGTCATGAGTAATTATTTTTAAATATTCTCTCATTGCTATGAAAATACATACTCACAAAAATTGTTTTATTTCTAACGAATTTTTGTTAAGGGATTATATATAGGGTGTTCCAGAATTTACTCAAGATTTGAATTATGCGGCATTTGTGGAGTAAACTGTTGTCAATAAAATAAAAATGACAATGTGATAGCTGACAGTTCAAGGTTATTAAAAATGGAGCGCTACATGGAAAAAACAACGTGTTTTTATTGTTGAGCAATATTTAAAATTTTGTATTAAAAAACTGTGTTTTCCATCAAAATTACCTCTTGCGTGAATTTTGGGACACCCATTACCATACTAAGCATACAAGGAAATTAATAATTAAACAAATTTAATAAAAAATTAATTTCTACTCGTTTCAGGCTGCGTTCATTTGAAATGCAATTAGTTCCCAAACTTGTACGAACAGTTCCAAATAAATCCAGGTTTAAGTAGGACATTACTATTAGCATCGGTGTCTAATGTATAAAGTTCCTTTCGTTAAGTTTTACACTCACTGAGAAACGGCACACAAACTTCGGAAGGAATAACATTATACAGGGTATCCCTGCAACGATAATACTACCAGGAAAGGGGATGCAGATACGAATCGAACAAAAACAATAAAATTTGTTCATTCGAAGCTTCGTTTTCGAGAAAATGGACTTTGAATATTCACCGAGTGCGCGTGCGCTTTATTTTGGTTATGGCGGATGGACCACCATATGAGCCGTTCACTGCACAAATTGATTAACTCTATAAAACAAAAAGTGGAGAAATGCAATGAAATAATGTATATTGTTTTTTAAAATTCCCTTTATAATTTAAATCGAAATAAATATTGTAGAATGCATAAATATAAATGTAACTTTCATCTAACGGTATATGAAATTTATAAGAAAAAATAGTCAAAAGGTAATCGTTAGTAATGTTACCATTTTTATGTTACTGGAAGAGTTAATCGATTTGGCAAGTGAAAAAAGTAATAAATTCAAATTTTACTAAATTTTACTTAAATTCTGATAAGACGGCACTAAAAAATTCACCGTTATCATTCGTGGCTTGCAAGTGCATTTGAGTTGCATTATTGCAACGATTTACATTTGAGTACGGAGTTAATCAAAGTGACCTCTGAAATAAATTATTTATTATTCGGTGGCCAAAAAATTTTTGTCCTTTAACGGTGTTAATCTTAATTATCAGGGAAAGTTATTATAAATATAAAAAGTTATGACTATACCAAGTGCTTTGACACTCAAATTTAAGATTTTTCAAAAAGTGGAGTTAATCGATTTGTGCAGTGAACGACTCATATATCAGCGTATTCGGTGAATATTCAAAGTCGATTTTCTCGAAAACGAAGCTTCCAATCAAAAATTTTCTTTTCTTTTCGATTCATTTTTACATGTAGAATTATCGCCTTCCAGATGTACTATCGTTGCTGGGACACCCTATATATAAATATTTTGAATTGACTTACCTCGAAGACGGTTGTTGCTGATTTGGATCGAGTAGTGAGACATCTGGATTATCCTTTGGACAACTCTCGAGGCTGCTTTGTCTCTTTGACTCCGAGTCCTCGCCTTTCTCTTCCTGGGTTGATTTCAGGAAGATCTCTTTATCGCCATCTATGCCATCCTCTTTCGAATTTCGTTGCTCCTGTTGTCGAATCGTCGATGCGAGTGGCAAGTTATCTGCACTGCGAACCTTCCGGCACAACTTCGACGTTGAACCATGTCGTCTTAGAAATTCCTGGAAATTAAAAACAATATACATTATAGAAACAATTAATTCATTACATATACTGATTTCGAAATTTTTTCTTTTCTTCATTATTCGAAATTTTCAATAATTTATTTATTGAAATTTTACTCATCTTATTTATATTTCTAGACGTGATTTATGCTGTTTAATCGTTTAAGTGTTGGAGGTGTTTGGAGAAACGTTATTGAAAAATATCAAACGACGTGATTATGCATTGTTGATTTTAAATATCGGTAAAATCGAGAGAGCGTTGCGGTAAGATTCGAACGAATTGTCAACTGTAATCGTGGTCGATAATGTAGCACTATTCGACACGAAATCCGCTAATGCAATCGCGTTTTCTTTATCTGTAAATATTAATAATACCGAGATGGCGCTGCGGTAGAATTCGAATGCATTGTTAACTGTGCACCACGACGCGATATTTTTCGACATGAAATCTAACCTTGAAATTTATTTTCTTCTTAAATATTAACAAGACTGAGATGGCACTGCGGTACAATTCGAACGAACTGTAAATTGCATTTCACGGTTAGATACAGTAACACGTTTTGACACGAAATTTAACATTGTAACCACGCTTTGCTCGTTTGTAAATATGAATAAGACCAATATAACACTGCAATAAAATTTGAACGTACTATAAATTGCACGATACGGTCCACAATACGGTAATGATACTTTTCGGCACAAAATCTGAACGATGTAATCGTGCTTTGTTTATCTGTAAGTACAATAGTAACAAAACCGAGATGGCGCTGTGATTGCGTTATGTATATCTGCGAATATTACTAACAACGAGATGGCGCTGCGGTAGAACTTGAATACAACATTATTGAACACCGTATCTCAATGTGAATGCACCTTTCGATACAATATTCGAATAGCGCGATTATTCTACGTGAAATATGAAGTTTAACGCGTACTACCGGTGGAGCACATGACACGGAACATGGTTAGGCGAATGAAAAATTGAAAAATATATCGAAAGAAAAATTTGTTGATCGAGATATTCGTTTTATATTTACACTATTAAAACAGTTTCATTTACAATTATTCATCTATTGATCGGTATCTTGATTTATGAGAGATGGTAATGAGGTTTTTACTTGAAAATGGTAATTTGCCTTTGTTCCTGTTTACCTACTCTTGATAACATAAAATCAATTTGTTACGATGTAAGAAGCGACGTCAGCGAGATATATTTGAGGTTAATATTAAAACTACCGAACTAGTCAAATGACTGATTTTATAAACACTTCGCAAATCAAAATAATTAATTATTTTCCGAATTTTTTAAAAATGTCAATGTCAAAATATTAGATTTATATTTAAAATAAATTTTTACATTTTGTTTTCTAGAATAACTGGATTTGGCTATTGAGTGACTCGTCAAATTAAAAAGAAATTATTTAAAAAAATGATGGAAAATTATTGCAAATGTGAGGGCGTTTTTGGTGAAATTATGTTGGTACTGGGTGTCCCAAAATTCACGCAACAAATAAATCTGATAGAAAATATAAGTTTATAATAAATAATTGTAAATATTGCTCAACGATAAAAACGCGTTGTTTTTTCACATTTTTAATAATCCTGAACTGTCAGTCGTCATACTGTCATTTTTATTTCGTTGGAAACCGTTTATATGCACAAATGGCGCAAAATTCAAAACTTGCGTGAATTTTGGGAGACACCAGATATTCTCACACGAATATAACTATATGTACTTATTCATTTATATTATGTCGTTTTAATTATCGTTATCTAGGTGTACTACATTTAAGTGCACATTACAGGTCAATAGTGCCAATGTTAATCGGTGTGGTTCCAACAGGTACACAGTTGAAAACGTGGTCGTTAAAAAATGCAATACACCGTGATTACAAACGGCGGTCCATGCTACCAGAAAATGAATTTAACGACTTCCTTACAAGTAAACCACGAACTTATTGATCAACCTGTGAACTACACTTCACCTCCAACTACCTTGAACTTTAACGTTTGACGTGTCTATTTTGTACGGTCTCTTTCGCGTTCGTTACATATTTCAATATCCGGCGCGTCGGAGGATAACGTATTAAAAATCTGATGATATGCAAACAAATATTTTTCGACATTTTCAATAAAATAAGAATTTAAGAACAATTTTTACCATTGTCATAAATGCGTTGGTGATTATACGTATGACCTAAGTTGTCGATATCCTTCTTCGAGATGCTAAGACTATGAAGTATAGTCTTTTCATAAATTATGAAATTAATTATTTAAAAAGAAAATTAATTAATTTATTTAATATTATTTTTTAATTCATACAGATAATAATTCGTAATTAATTAGCTAATTCTATATTTTACTAGTTTGAGAAAATGATTTTATATTACCTTAATGTAAATGATGGAAAATTAATTAAAAAACAAATTTATTTCGTAATTTGGGTTTTTGAATTAGATCATTTTCAGAAGTATCACATGGAATTGTTATTTTGATCGATATTAATAAATTCATGCATGTTTGTTTCGTTATAAATGACAATTGTTACTAAATTGTATTTATCAATATTAGTAACATGATTCATTTTACAAACTTTATACAAAAATTTGTAATTTTTATAGTATATCAGGCATTTTCGTGTAAAATACGAATATAACTATATGTACTTATTCATTTATATTATGTCGTTTTAATTATCGTTATCTAGGTGTACTACATTTAAGTGCACATTACAGGTCAATAGTGCCAATGTTAATCGGTGTGGTTCCAACAGGTACACAGTTGAAAACGTGGTCGTTAAAAAATGCAATACACCGTGATTACAAACGGCGGTCCATGCTACCAGAAAATGAATTTAACGACTTCCTTACAAGTAAACCACGAACTTATTGATCAACCTGTGAACTACACTTCACCTCCAACTACCTTGAACTTTAACGTTTGACGTGTCTATTTTGTACGGTCTCTTTCGCGTTCGTTACATATTTCAATATCCGGCGCGTCGGAGGATAACGTATTAAAAATCTGATGATATGCAAACAAATATTTTTCGACATTTTCAATAAAATAAGAATTTAAGAACAATTTTTACCATTGTCATAAATGCGTTGGTGATTATACGTATGACCTAAGTTGTCGATATCCTTCTTCGAGATGCTAAGACTATGAAGTATAGTCTTTCCATAAATTATGAAATTAATTATTTAAAAAGAAAATTAATTAATTTATTTAATATTATTTTTTAATTCATACAGATAATAATTCGTAATTAATTAGCTAATTCTATATTTTACTAGTTTGAGAAAATGATTTTATATTACCTTAATGTAAATGATGGAAAATTAATTAAAAAACAAATTTATTTCGTAATTTGGGTTTTTGAATTAGATCATTTTCAAAAGTATCACATGGAATTGTTATTTTGATCGATATTAATAAATTCATGCATGTTTGTTTCGTTATAAATGACAATTGTTACTAAATGGTATTTATCAATATTAGTAACATGATTCATTTTACAAACTTTATACAAAAATTTGGAATTTTTATAGTATATCAGGCATTTTCGTGTAAAATATATAAATATATTTTATAAATAATTCGAATGTTTTATGATATTAAATTATGCAATAAAAACGTTAATTACATATATATGTTACTATTTAAAAAATAAATTAATGAATTTCAGTATCTTTATATATCTTTCAATATTTACCTTATTTTTTAAAATAAATAATTGTAAATCACAAATATATTAATAACGATCATATCATATATCTAAACAATATTTATTACAAAATAAATAATACCAATAAAACTTCTAAATAATGGAATTATTCAACTTTTATCTTAAACCATAAACTCTTTCCAAACTAAATATACTCAAAGATACTAAATAGGCAGAATGTATTGAATTATTAATTTAGGGTATAAACATAACAATTACTTTTTATCGAATTATCACGAAAAATTGAATTCCTCAAAACATTCCAAAAAATTCCAATTTCTCTTCCCAAGGAGAGAATATTTTTATTAAAAAAAATAAACAAACATAAAAAGAGAAAGAATTTAAAGAAATAAGAAAAAATTTCCAATCTTTGTCAATCTTTGACAAAAAACATTTTTTTTTAAGTGCATCGTTAATGACATACGACCACGATTACGCGACACAGTGGAATTTCAGCAATTTCTAGAGAATTCGTTGCTCCTTCCCCTGTCGTGACTGTGAATTGACAGGAAGGTTGATACGAAGTTAGGGTTCGATCGAAAGTTTCAAGGACGTGGATCAGCGGAACGGTTAATTTGCCCTCTGTCACGACAAAATTGGTCGAGTTGTTGCTTTCTCGTTTTATTCGATTACATACCTGGGATAGGAAGCCGGCCACGTCGATGGCGCTATTCACCCGCGGCCTCGAGGTTCTTGGCCATCCCAAACCACCTCCGCTATCCAAGGAGTCCACGTGATGGCTCGACCAGTGCAGATGCTGGAAAATGTGGCGACGCAATTAGGACACCTCATCGGCTACTGATTCCCCTCATAATTGCATTTCAATGTGACTTCTTTTTTCAAAGCGTGATTTCCGACAAGGCAGACAGGGACAAAGAACTCGTATACCCACTAAGAATAGAATCGATCTTCAGAACTGTCTCGTGGAAATAAGAAATGGTACTGGCGAAGGAAATTCTATATGTACGTAGTCGTTCGTGACAGTGTTCGAATGTTTGAAATTTTTATCGAATTTCGGGTCCGATGTAGTTTATGCACAAGTTTTTGGGACTCATGGATAAAGTTATGGGAAAAATTTGGCGACTAGAATGGAATTCGAAGAATACCGGAAATTTGAATTTCCGAAACTATTATTTTGGGCCCCAAGTAATTTATGCGGAAGTTTTTGGAACTTATAGTTGAAGTTAAGGGAAAAATTTGGGGACTAGAATGGAATTCGAAGAATACCGAATGTGGAAATTGGTAAAAATTTGAATATGTGGGAGCATTGTAGAAAGCGTAAGCTTTGAACTTCCGAAATTATTATTTTAGATCCCAAATAATTTATGCAGAAATTTTGGGGACTTATGGATGAAGTTATAGGAAAAAATTTGGGGACCAGAATGAAATTCGAAGAATACCGGAGATGGGTAAAAATTTTAATGTGTGGGAGTATTGTAAAAAGCGTAAGCTTTGAATTTTCGAAATTATTATTTTGGGTCCGAAGTAATTTATGCGGAGGTTTTGGGGACTCGTGAATGGAATTATAGACAAAAATTTGGGGACTAGAATGGAATTCGAAGAATACCGAATGTGAAATATTGTAGAGTATTGTAGAAAGCGTAAGCTTTGAATTTTCGAAGTTATTATTTTGGGTCCGAAGTAATTTATGCAGAAGTTTTAAAGACTTGTGGATGAAGTCGTAGAAAAAAATTTTGAGACTAGAATGGAATTCGAAAACTACTGAATGTGAAGGTGGGTAAAAATTCGAATGTGTGGGAGTATTAAAGAAAGCACAAGCTTTGAAGTTCATAATAAATCTACTATAAAAGATTAATCGACTGTTTAAATTTTGTACAAAAATTCATTTGATATAATTTTTTCAAATTACAAACATTTAACCAAATGTTCGCTTTCTTAAATAAGGCTTGTTTTATCCATTAATGCATTAATAATATGCGTTGTACAATATTCTATGTGGAATATAAATATTTGGTTAGAATAAAAATTGATAGTACATGAAAAATGATTCAGTATAGTGAACGAAATATATATTTCTAAAATGTACAACTTTATACTCTTTTCAAAAATAGCAAGGAAACACACTGTATGTGACCATTCTTTAATTTTTGTGATGTAAAATGAGTTAATATTTATTAACATTTTTGCACTATATGTACTATACATTTTATGGTACTTTAAAAACATAGTAATAAAAGATTTAATTCTAAAAATATTTTTCATTTTATATTTAGTAATATTGTAATTTTAATATTTTAGATAACATTTTGAATTTCATTTAGAAATGAATTGAAAATTAAAAATTTATAGTGTACAATCCCATTATAGTACTGCAGATACTTTACAAATTATGTTTGCCACGATGTACATTTTTTCTATCAAATATGTGTGCATATAACATAAATCTTGTGAATAAAATAACAATACTATTTTTAGTGGGTATTCTTTAAGTGAAAATATCGACAGAATTAAGAATTTTGCAATGCACCAATTTTTAAACCTAATCTATCAGTGCAATATCTGCCTCTTTATGTATTCACAGGATTCATAAACCGTTATTCTTATTAATATTACAATTTAATATATTCTGCATGTAATTATGACTTAAACGTGATTTGCAATTATGCAAAATAGTGTTTGCACTTTAATGATCATTTTCCATAATTTATGTACATTGATTACCACATATGTATACTCGAATGAAACTGTGATATCAGCCACGAGAAATGTAAATAATAAATATCGCAAAGACTGAGTTCACTTTCCTGAAATTAATTCAAAATCAGAAAAACTATATTAACTATATTTTCAAACACAAATTTAAAGATAATATTAATTATACAAATATATATTATTTAAATAAATAGAATAATTTGTAAAAAATATCAATCATCATTTGTCACATAGATTATGTCAATTAATTATTCACAAAATTTGAGAACAAGTTTACAGAATATCTTTTTAATACAAATATAATTTATGGAAAATATCGTTAAAATATTCAATTCTAGAAACACAGTAAAAATTAACAAAGCTTATATGATGTTTAATCTGTTTCAATATCATTACTAAATATTTCAAAATATTACTGATACACAAAACTATAACGAGATTTAATAAAATAACTGTTATCCTGTAAAGTAAAATAATACACGTAAATGGTATTAAGCTAGGAACATCAAACTATAAAAATGACAGTACTTTACAGGTACTATTTACCATTTCTTAATTACACAATATTTATGAATAAAAATTTCATTTCAATGATTAATTACCATGTCAGTAATTTACAGAAAGTATATCGTTATATCGTACTTTTCATAAATGCATCAGTGATCTTACGTTTAACGTAACGATAAATCTAATTTTTCAACAACTATACTTGTAAGCATTTCAGGTGGGCAAGCATCTCTGTTGGTGATACTATAATCGTGACGTAAAAGCGTTAGTGTTCGCTGTGCATTAATTTTCCGTTAATTAGTGTCAGTTTTTGCATCATTGCATCCGCGTTGAAATTCCGGTGCAGAAAAATCGTTGCTAATTGTGCAAAATTTGTGCTTGTCACGTAAGAAGTTGATTGCAGTAAAACGTGTGACGAATCGAAGCGTACAAGGTTACCGTTATGATAATTCCAAGCAGATCAAACATATTTCTGAGCTAAAGGTGGAATTAATGCAAATAAAGGGAGAAATAATTAGCAAGTCGAGTAAACATTTTTTCTCATCATAATTATCACATGGAGGGTAGAAGATTAATATTTTTCAAATTTATTTCGAGTACAAAATTACAAATTTAGTATAATATCTGAGTAATAACTGAGTCGCTCATTTGCCAAATGGATTAAAAAAGGAAGAAAATAGGAATTTATTTTAAATGTAGAAAGTGGAATATCAAAAAATTTTGAATGAAGTTAATCACTTTGGCTTGTGAATGGCTCAGTTACTTTAAATAGTAATTTAAAAATTAAGATTTTAAATAATATGAATTACTATTTGGTAAGTAGTATATTCTAATTGATGTTAATTTATTTATTTGGTTAATTAAATAATAAATAGAAAAATTGGTTATTTAAGAAAAGGAGGTTTACTTTTTAATTGACAATTTGATTCTGAAGTAACATCCGTAACAAATGTAGTAATAAATATAATAATAGTGTTAATGAGAAGCAGTAAAATCAATTAACAAATAACCATAGCAAAAGGCAAATAATTTATTTTATAAAGTGAGGAACAAATTACTGAATTGTACATATATTAATTTATTCCTTATGTCAAATACTTCATGATATTTGTTAATTCCACAATAACTATTTTTCAAATAACTCTTAAAAATAATATTAAAATAATGGAATTTTGCTATTATAGAATTTAAAACAATGAAATTTTGCTATTATAGAATTTAAAATAATAAAATTTTATTATTATAGAATTTAAAATAATGTAATTTTGTTATTGTAGAATTTAAAATAATAAAATTTTGTTATTATAGAATTTAAAATAATGAAATTTTATTATTATAGAAATTAAAATAATGAAATTTGAAAACTGCTCAAAATGCCCAGATTTGACATACTACACAAGTATTGTCTGCTTAAATGATCATCAATTTTTTCGTTCGTTGGAAGTAGACTCCAGGGCCACCTTCGATTCCTATCAACGATAACTGAACTAATAATATACTATCAAAGCAAGAAAAGAAAAATTTGTATATTGCTTACATTATTATTACAATACTAATTTTGATTGAATGAATAAAAGTCAAATTATTCAGATTTTTTAAAATTAAAATAATACTAAGCATGATTATATTTTAACTAATTTTAAATTTCCTAAAAATGGTACACCCCGAGACGAATCGCACATGGCAGAGGACAGGGTTCAATAGTATTTTACTGTCTTACTCTCTCTTATTGTTTCTCACTCTTACTTTCAACGTGCTCACAGCAAAGTGAGCTGAAGTCAGATTACACCGGTTAATTCGTGGAAATCCACTTCTCCGATAAATGGTATAGTCCAGTCCCCAACTGTGGTCATTTAAGCAAATAGTACAGTGTTGTTTAGCTTCATGCTACGAAAGGTAAACAAATTTCTCGTCATAATATACCTAGAGAAATAAAGTTAAAAACTGTAATAATTTGTATTTATATTTTTTTAAACAATAAGTAAAAAATATGAGACTAAATGCTTCCTTTTGTACTTTCATGTCTTGAATATTGTAATTATCTTCTTTTTTCTTCAATTGCATTAATCTAGGATTTTAGAAGATTAATTTTTTTGAAAAATTGTTTTGTGTTATTTTTGTGTTTTTTTTATTAATAATTATCTCTTTTTAGCAAAAAGAGACAAATTAATTATTAAAGTAAAAGCTTGCTGCAATAAATAATTAAATAATTGCTCTTAAGGAAAAAGAAATATAATTTAGTTTTATGTAAGTCATGTTATTTTTAATTATTAACCAAAATTAAACTTATAACAATTTTAATTATTATTTCTATTACGTAATATATTTCTTTACTATACAGGGTGTCCCGATATAATATTATACACAGTTTATGTAAAACATAAATATAGTAAAACATAAAACAGATAAAACCAATGCAACTTTTACTTCGATAGTAAGAAGAAACAATTACTTATTTAATTACTTAAATATTTAGCACTGAATCTTTTCTATTATTTTTCTTATTTTTTATTATATTTATTAAAACACACGAATATTTATGCCGAAAGAATAAATATAAAATATATAAATATAAGT